TCAGACCAGGCAACAGGGATTAAAGACAAAGTGGTGGTACTGGAAATGCAGAGGTGATAGTGCTACTGTATTTTCTGAAGAGTAGGAGACTGGAACATGAGGCATTTTCTCTATGAAAGACTCTTTGTACAGGGGTTGGTATAAACTGAAGAAAACAGAAGTGTCCTGCTTAGGTGTGTGGCTCAGGAATTTTTATTTGGCTGTAGCTGGAATATAGTGACGAGGTTGAGTATGGAAGGTATTGCTTCCTGATACTTGTCAATGACAAGTACATTGGACCTTATTATGTCATTTAAGTCTCTTGAGGACCTAACTACTGCTTTTTCCACATTTATGTTCTGCTCTTTCCGTATCTATGTAATGTCTCTGAAACGGGGAATTACACCTACACCCATTTTATTCATCACATAATCCAGGTGCAGGGTTCTCAAAGTCACTCAGACATACGCATCTCACTGATATTAGAAGGAAATTGAAAATAAATCTTCACTTACATGAATTGCTGCACACATAGTGATAATCCATGCAGATGGTCATATCACACAGCCTTTCACCAAGTGCTTACTAAGTTGGTCACTACTGATCTATAACTGCATTTTATCAGGGCTCTGAAATGGTAGACATGTTCAATGTGATTAGAATTAATAATTCTGAGTTGTTCAAGGAGCACTGTGACAATGAGCTGCTGCTCATCACCTTCTGAAGGTAATTTTTTCAGAGGCCACCTATGAGAATCTGTGAAACCCCTATGAGACACACCTAGCAGCCAGCAGCTGAAACCTCTAAAAGACTCGTGTTTCTAGAATGCCTTTCCTGTACTAGCAAGACATAAATACAGCTGTCTAATATTTGACTTACCTGAACTGTTGTACTGATACACTGTAGTCTACAGATTCTGACTTTTTACCCTTTCCTCAATTACTACTAGTGTTGAGCATGAGACACTTTGACTCATTGAGGCAGAATATGCAAGGTTTTATGTCCTTATGCACAGCTTAAATCATACGAATGACTAGAAAATACCCAACCACGGGGCACTTCATTAGATACCAGGCTGTGCATTCAGGAGCTCAACCACCATTATCAGCTAGACTCTAGAAGCAGTGAAGCCAGATTCCTCTCCTATCTCTGGCACCTCAGGTAGGAGGAATTTCAACCACAAAACTCAGAAGAACATTTGATCTATGTGACATGCCTGCCCCACATGACCTCTTTCATAACCCTGATATTTAACTACCAGCATACATGGGCATCCATGCAGACACTGAGAAAATACATATGTGACCTTTTTCTCTTGGAGAGAAGTGAATGAGCTGGGAGTGAAGTATTAATTGAGACTCATTACTCTTGACAGATGTTAGCGGAGTTTTTAATCACTCAAGATGGCCAGAATATTCATTACCTGACTCACATCTTTCAACAACACATCTTTCAACACATCACATCTTTCAACAACAACCTGCTTCCTTGCAGATTGCTTTCCTTCTATGTTTGCAGAATTATAGCAGGGTAACATGGAGTGAGAGTTTAGGGCTTTAAAGGAAAAGCCCTATTGCTGTCTGCCATGACTTTCTTCATTTAAGGCAGAAGAAGGGTGTAAGACCCATAATCCTTTTTTCCTAGAGTTAAATGGGCTGTGAACAGTAGAGTAGCAACTACACAGGAGCAGCAAACAGCCAACTTCACAGGGTACCAGTCTCAAGCTATAAGTACAGTCTTTGAGTATGAAGAACAGTCTCTGAAGATACACTTTGAACTTTTCTTCTATGCATAGCATGTCATACCTGGACTGCCATCTGTTTGTGAGAACAGCTAACGAAAGTGCACATATCACTTAGTCTGGAATTACAATGGAAGAAGACCATGAAGCTCTGGTTTGTTCTACCCACTCACAGAAGTTCTGGTGTCTCTCATAAAGGTCAAGGCAAAAATCTTTTCCTTTGCCCACAAGGAGGGACACTAAATTTGCATTTCAATATAAAATTTAGAACATTAACTCATCATGAGGAAAATAACTGCCTGGTTATATGATGGGGATTATGAGTTGATATCTTTGCTCTTCCCCTGCCTATGACATATCAGGCTGTACTGCAATCTCAAGGGAAAACCAGGAGAGAAATAAAGCTGATTTATCTCTGTACTATAATTCCAGCACTCAGCAATGAGTTATTAAAAGGCAACAGACCCTGGGAAAGGAGACCAGCACACAACTCTGTCCTAGGACAGTCTACTACTTCATTCCTGAAATCTTTGCATATGCGATCCCTGTTCATCAGAAACACCATAAACAAAATAGTTCAGCGTGTTCCTTTGCTGCCATATTTTCTGTGCCCTAGGGAGAGATCAAAAATGCTGAACTTTGGTTATATTATCAAGATCAGAAAGGAAAAGATATCCTGGTAATGGACACAATATTCAAAGCCACGAGATACATGAAATTGAGGGCTTTTTGCAACAGTGTGACAAATTCTGTATTGAGACAGATCACCCCACCACACAGAAGCAGAAATGTAACATGCCTTTTTGTTCAGAGATTGACCATGTTTAATTATTCATTTTTTTCAGTAGCTTAACCATGTATTCAGTTAAATAAAGTAAAACAAAAGTGTTCCAAGTGAGGCAATATTGTTTTTATGTTATTTTTAAATTGTGATCAGGTATCTGTGGGACATGGAAAACTAAAAATCAAACAAAGTACATAATCTTTGCTTTTCTAACAAATTCTAGCCAAATTCTGCTCTCAAGTAAATTTCTATAGAGCTTTGTCCATAACAGCATTACACTACAAGGGTGTATCTCTGGGCTTAAAAAGTCCAAAAGCTCAGGAGTTGTTCTCATGTCTCCAAGGCTCAGCACACACCAGATGGAGAGCTGATGCCTGGCTCTAACACACACTGCCCCACTGACCCAGTGCAAGCAGTCACAGCATCGCCCATCTCCAACAAATTGATCTGATGTCAACAGATGGTAATTTGGCTACATTTGTTTCTTGACTTCAATTTGCCTGCTTCAAGGAATGAGAGCACAATTTGGCTCCTTTCTTGGTGAAAAGGAAGCCAACCAAACATGACTTTCACCAGGCCTCAGCTTCTGGCCCCAGATTTCAACACACACTATTACAGCGATCAAAAGAACCATAGAAATCACTTATCTTTTTACTGTTCCTTAACACATTTCACACAGTCCTGCAATGAGCAGAATCACAGATGAACTTCAGAACATACAGAGAGCACAACTACTACACTGGACATGAAAAGGAAATTTTATTAAACATGTTTACATAACATGAGTTGGAAGTTCATTTAAAAGCACAGGGGAGTGTTAAGACAAGTGGTCGAAATAGAAAGGTACTATCGAATTATATCTAGTTGGTTTTTGGCCACTAAGACAGAACAGGATCTAGTAGTAGTGCACCAATTCTTGAGTTCTTCCTGCTCAGCAGGTCGAGCAGTAACCAATCTGCGCCCTATGGAAAGATGGGCAGAGTAATTCCCACATGTTGAGTAATAATAAATAGTTCACTTGGTGCAGGCAGTATGTCTATGGATTAAAACCTAGTGTGTACACAGTTTCTACATGTGTTACAGCCCCACAGTAGGAATCTACACCAAAATAGTTATTAGAAGGAATTTGGTCCATACTACATCACGTTTTCCATAGGGTAAAAAATAAAGTCCATCTATAGACATTTAGCACCAGACTCACTGGCCTAGCCTGGCTAAAACCTGCAAAATGTCTATAAGAAAAATGGATGGCTTAGATTTCTTGGTTACTTCAGTATAATAAGTACGAGCAAACTGTACAAGTACATGCAACATACAAGCTGGCCTATGTGGAACTAACATACATTATTAAATAACCTTTTTCATCTCTTTTTACAAAACGTGCATGCAGCTTTGAACAGTTCCAAGTCATGCTGCTCTATTTGTGTGATCACAAAATCTAATGGCCTGTAAAAGGAGGGGAAACATATCAATGCACCTGCAGGAATCTGCAGTTGTTCTCACATTTACAGAATATCACAAGGGATTTTGAGGCCAAGAAGAACTCAAATGAATAAAAAGCAAATTGAAATTTGAATTATTATTATTTTTTCTCCAAAAAGTAAGATATCTTGCGTTAAAAAATCAAGCCTTGTGCTTGCATCAATCTCAAAGAAATGTAAACTAAAATTTGATAAAAACATTAGTAAGTGCAGAATATTTCAACTGGAATTTCCAGTGAAACATTGAACAACTCATACCATGCTCTATCCAGGGCAGACAGGTGTGTCTGAAGTGACACACATCAGAGAAGCCTGGGTACAGCTGAAAGTGTCATATGCTCAATCCATTCCTGGTCACCATTTTGGGAAGTCAAATATACATTTATACACAGAAACGTAAGTATTTCCTCTCCACTTCTAGGAGGAAAATTGCATTACCAGTAACATACTCAATGTCAAAATTAAGACTAAAGCTGCTTTATACCAGTCCCCAGCAGTAGTTGCAGAATTCTTCAAAATTCTTCCATGCAAAACATCATCAACATAAAAGTTATTATATATAATGCAAAGCTTTGTACAAAGAAAAAGTGGCACTGTGATGATTATTTATTTTTTAAGAATCTAACTTAGGTTGGTCATTTGTTCTGAGTCTCCACGTGAGTGACTTGGAAGTACCAGAACTGAGAAACGATTTGAACTAACTCGCTGGAATTGTAACTGTGGCTGTTGAACACTTTAACGATGCTTACAGAGATATGCTTCAGCCCTTTTTTGTTTGGTTTAGAAAAAGAAAGGAAGGGTCTCTGTTAGCGTTGTGAGGACTTCTACAGAACTAGCAGAATCACATGGCAAAAAACTAGTGGAAGTGACAAGTACAGAAAAACTGCTGAAACACCAGGAAGGTAACGCTGCTTGGGGGCTCTGTCAAAGTGTGAGAATTACAACATTGTTAGCAGAGTGAGAGCTTCCAGTTTGGGTCATCTCTGACCTAGGTCGAATCTAAAGGTGTCTCTCTCTCTCTTTTCTCTTTTTTTGTTTGGGTCATTATAAGCATCTGTGATAGCTGCTAATAGATTGGCCGTATGTGATATACCTTTGTTCTGTCACTTAAAGCCATCTCTCGATAGACAGACATATGTTTGGATAACTACTACACGCGAAAACAGAAGTGATTGTCTCTCTCCAACAGTGTTTTTTGATCATGTGAATATCTGGTTCCAATTGTTGTCCTGGATGATGTTTTTATCAGACAGCACCTGCTACTATGATCTAATACAGGGAGGCCCGGTTGAACTTTCCAGAGATGACTGGGAAGCCCTGCGTGTCAGGGGAGTCAAGGTTGGATCCACTAGTGATGAAGGTGGAAATAATTTATACCAGCCTATTACCACACTGGACAGATCCAGTTCCTCCAGAAGGATCTGGGCAACTCCCATGAAGCATTTGTGGTCCATTCGGCCATAGTCTCCCCAAACTATTACCTAGAAGAACATAAAATACAGGTTCAGTATTGTCCTCAAACCCACACTTATATGTTCACTCCTGCAGTGAAGTGTAGCCCAAGGAGATTGTTATTCTTAAAAGTGAATGATTGCTCCCTCTTGTGGGAAAACCTAATGGCAAGACAGGAGTAAGAGTCAACAAAAGAGAAGTGTTTAATACAGCCAGACATCTTGCAGGTCTGAAACCACAAGCCACAGGATGTGTTTGCTGGCATTTATAAAATTAAAGGCATACTGAATTGGAATAGGTTTACACATATTGCTTAAACTTAAGTAAACATGCAAATGCTTCTCCAAATGGTAGCCTAAAATGGGATTGAGAAGGAACTGACCTGAAGGACTTTACCCTGTGGACTTTCATCAAAAACCAGTGTCTGTTGGTACAAAGGATCAAGGGTCTTCCGTGCAATTCTTGTCTTCTTCTTAGCTATACATGCTCCATTTTCCAATAAATACACTTTGACATATGGAGCTGCAAACAGAACATCATGAATTTTATGTTTGGACTTAAAAACTTCTACATTGCACATCCGAGCTGGAGGACAAATGCCTTAAAAGGAAGCTGAGCGGAATGAAAATGACACATTATCTTCACTTTATAATCTGAATATAGTTATATTTGTAAAATAAATGACACAGCCCATAAGAAATCAGTTTAGTTTTTATAAACTTTGAATGTAATGATCTAAGATGTTACTAACAACAATTACGTTTCATGTCTGTCATTTAGGAACACTTTCTTTTGCCAGGAATTAACTGTCACTGAGAGCCACTTGGGAGTCTCTTATGTATGTTTAGAGGTCAGAGATATTTCAAAACAAAAGTCTTTGATGTTTCATTGAAAGGAATATTTAAAACTAAGTTGCTCTGATAACACAGACATTAACTGCTCTTTCATCTTCAGCTACTAAGGAGGTTGTAAATTAACATATTGGCAAAATGTTATCTAAAACAACTGTTCCAGTTGTTAAGGTAAGCGGCGGTTGTGGTAGTGATTATAAATCTCCTCTAATAAAGATATCTATAAACAACTAGAACTTCTAAATGTGATCTTATAAAATGATACAGTATTAAATCTCATTCATTATACAAATTACTGACACTAGCACTAGCTTAACCTGCTGTCTTCTTGAAGCACTGCTGTGTACAGAAGATCCTGGCACATGGGTCTATTAAGCTGTTTGTTCAATGCACTTCCCTTTGTTCTCCACCTCTTGTTTTGATGTGGAACAAACACAAAGGACTTCATCTACAGCGACAGAGCCTCTCTGAGATATATGACTTGCCTAAGATAGGCAGAAATATTTCTGCAAATGTCCCTTCCAGAACAGATGTTTTCTTGCTGAAAATAATTCTTTTAAAGGCAACTGGAAGATGCAAGGTGGTAAGAAGTGGACATCAGTAGCAAAGATATACCCATACACACATTCCTTGTTGAAAAGCAAGCCAAACAAATGCAAATGTGATGAGGAGCTCAAAAAGTCTCTGATGCCCAGTTCATCAGTATATTTCATAGTCTCATTTTCTGTTCATGTATTGTCTATTTTTTTTTTCCTTACCTGGGGTAGATTTGGAGCCAGGTTTTTGGATGAGGCCGCGGGCTCTAATGACTTCTACTTCTAACTGGCCCTTTTTGTCCACCATTCCAATCTGGATGTCACCTAAGAGGGAGAAGAAAGCAGACCATGTTTTAGAGAAGCACTACAGCCCAGAAGACAGGTGAGAAACAGAAAGACTAGTTTTCTGCTAGTCTGCTGCATTAGTGTGCTTGTCACTTCTTTTCCTGATCCCTTTAGTTTCTCCATTCTTAAAGCAGGACTACAAGCAGGACTTAGGGTGCACGGTGCCCTTTCTTGATGCATGGTTTATACCAGAGCTCAGTATTTCTGATCCATGGAGGCAGGCAAATTTACAGCAACACTATGGTATAACCACCACACTTGTAATTTTGCACTGGTGAATTCTCTAACTTCCTACCTAAGATTTGCGCCAGCGTGCCAGTCACTGACATGTGCTGTCCTTAGAGGAGTCCCACACTCAGAGGATATAAACCCCAAACTCATGTTTAGAAATCCCTTCAGCTGGAAGTTTCTGCCTCCAAGCTGAGAGCAAAGAGCTAACAGTACGAAGGGTCCATGTCTGATGAAACAGGAAGGAGGACTGCAGGTGGAGGCTAATGTTGAAATCACCTTCTTTGACCACAAGTGCTTGACTGGATCCTCAGCGTGAGGCAAAGGCACCAACCAGAGGAGGCACACAGTCATAGCACAGCTTCAGAGAATGACGGCCAGCCCCCCAGGAGCTCAAAAGAGGTCTTTTTGTTTTATCTGAAAAAGTCTCCAAAAAGTACAGATGTGACAATTTTCTCTTTTTTATTGATATTACACACACATTTTTGGTGTGAATATAATGAAGCAACATGTTAAAATAAGAAGCTGCTTTTGCTACTAAATAGTTGAACTTGTTTCCCTTCCTGCCTTCTGACAAATGACATTAGCTGCAGAAAAAGGAAACGGCTTGTTCTGAAACCAAGCACTGTTCTGATCTAGATCAACAAAATGCAAGGGAAGTCAAGTACAGGCTGATGCTCAGAGCATTGTATATCTGTGGTTTTATATAACACGGAATCAGCTGGGTAAAAGCCCAACAGGCCACATAGAACAACAAATGCACCATGTAACATGGTCAGCTACATGACGCCTATGCAAATAAATGAACTATACATATATCCATGAAGCAAGTGAGAATGTACATATTTGACATGTAAGCTCTGATTGTCTGAAAAAAACCCACTCACAAAGAAATAGTCCTGAACTATAGAATTTGGGGTCTGGATTCAGAAAGATAGCATTTCGAAATTAACTGGGCCTGAGATTTTCATATGCTTGTCTAACAGCGTACTAAAGCAGTGTTTATACCCCAGCACTTGAGATATGACAGAGCAGCAGGGAAGATTGTTTTTATCAATCGGACTTTGCTTGAATAAACAGAGCGCTGTGTTGCACCAAAAATAGCTCACAGAAAAATTCCAACAGGCCTTTTGAAGAGCCCATCTCTGTATCTCATATCCAAAACGAAACATGCGACAGGGAACCAGAAGGGGGAGCGATAAGACAAACATTTGCAAATAGTCACTAGCAAAAGGGTACCACATAGAAGGTCTTCCGAAAATTGTTAAAAAGCATGACTGAGTGCTATCTGGCGTGCAAAAATTGAGCCCTTAGTAAAAAAAGCAGTTTGTTTACTAAAAAGTGAAAATAAACATATTACTCTAGTAATCTGTAGAAAAATAGAAAAAATTAAAATAGATGGAAGGAGTCTAGACCCTTACATTCATGCTGATAGAGCCACTTACATTTTTACTGGGCAAATCATCTCACAAATATCTTCTCTTTTACAATAATAATAAAAATTCTGAATTTACTAAGTTTGGTGCTTATTAAATGCATTCGTAGCAGTCATTTCTATTTACACTGCAGCCCTTGCCTTAGGGGGATACTCAAAGCATTCTCAAGAAAGTTTGTCTCCTGCTCATGATTTGGGAGGGGAACACTGTCTTCTGCAATTTTTCCTTCTGTTTCTCTCTCCTTCCTCAGAAGCAGCTCAGTAGCCCTTCCTGAAACTGGCTGTCCCAAGACAGCTGTACTGAAGCATTGGCCATTTATAATTTCCAGCAGAGGAAGTATTGTGAAAGTAGTGGATCAAGAACTGCTCTCTTAGCATCCTAAAGAAACCTTTCCAAAGATACTTACATAGCACTGCACTGTTATACACCTTATACACTCCCTTCATAACCAAGATACAGCTAATGCTTCTATAGGGAAATTACAGATTGGTCTGGAACACAGATAAGGTCACAGATAAGATCACAGCTAAGATCACAGCTGCTGTAGGAAAGGATTTTGTCTCCTTCATGACAAACACTGGCTTTATCAGCAGAAACTGATTATTGGGAGTTGCAAATGTGGGCAGAAGTTTCACATTCTGGGGTGAGATGAACTAAAACTGGACACTTGGCAGAGTTTGTCCAGAAACTGTCTGTCACATCTAATGTAATATGTGGCAAGTAAGTACAAACACTGAACAGCTGAGATTTTGTAGTGAGCTACATACAACTGGAAAAACTACAACAATTTTGAGTGGGAAGTAAAGTGCAAGCCCTATTTCCGAATTGCAAATGAGATTAGCTGACATCTCAAATGGAGCAAATACTGTTTCTCACCCCATTTTGGATGCTAGCACGCTTAGGAATACCAGTGAATGGGTATAGGACCTTCATGTTTGCAGTGAAGGAAGCCACTTTGTAAAAGTATTCTTGGTGCTGTAGTCTGGCAGTGTGTGCATTAGTTAATTGGCTTCTTATTCATTTAACAGAGGAGAAAATATTATTCTTACCCATGGCAGGAGTTGCTAATGTTTGTCGGCCTACTAACTGTGCAGGTCCAAGTCCATCAAGGAAATCACTAAACTGACTGTCAGCGCCCAGCCGTACTCCAGGGAATATTAAGCTGAAGCAAAATAAAAGCTGGTTAAGTATAAGAACAGGATTAATTTCTATTGACCTACAGTCTTTACCTCAAAAGTACTACTGATACAAGTCAAGCAGCTCAGGATGTGCTGCCACAAATTGTTCTGCAGCGTCAGGAACGAGCTGTCTCCCATGGACCCCAAAGAAGTGTAGTGAAATTCTGCACATGGACCTAAAGCAGTCCATAAAACAGTTCTTGCAAGGGAGTTCTCCAGGAGCAGTGAAGAGTCTGACAGATGAATAAACTATGAGTGACCTTGTATGAGAAAACATAAAAAGCCTCATGAAATTTAATAGCCTATCATTGTTTATTCTTGAATGCTTGGCTTATCTTGTAATATTGTTTTATATCTATACATACATCCAAACACCACCCGCATCAGTTAGAACAAACAGGGAAAACAGATGTATACACTACATCAATCTGATTGCTGCAGCTGTTTAACAAAGCAGCAGATAGGTAACTACTGGCAGGTATACTAGTGCTGATTAGAGCTAAACCTAATGCCATTCCCTATCCAGAATATTCTGGTAGCCACATCTGAATCTACAGTTGGTACCCATCCCTCTTTCAGGTTCAGGACACAAACTGAACTGTAATACATCAGCACACATAATATATGGAAATATTCACGGTCAGGTTGGACGGGGCTCTGAGCAACCTGGGTGGGTGGACCAGATGACCTTTAAAGGTCCCTTCCAACCCAAAGTATTCTGTGATTCTATGGGACGTGCTTTTTCAAGCTGATTTCTTGTATTCCAGAATCTCCACTTTCTTTTTAAAAGAGTTTTTCAAACAATAACCAAAGAAACAAGCAGAACAAAAAAAAGAAACAACCCAGAGATAAAGAATGATCCATGGTGGGGAGACTCAGATTTTTTTTGGGGACTTCTCCATCACAAGGAATGGAAAAACAGACTTTGAACCAAGCCTAGGCAGCATCTTACCCAGCAGGCCATCCACCACTATGTATCTGCTTCTCCCTCATACAAAATTCCCTGTTAGACTGGAGAAAATAACAACAGCACTTCCTAATAAAAACATCCAGTGTCAAAAGCTTTGATTTCCACAGATCAGGCTTATGTGTTCCAGTCATTCAATTCACACTAAAAACTCTTTACAAGCCCCAGTTAGCTTTATAGAAAAAGCCCTTTCTTCTCTTCAAGACTAACTGCTCTTACTATGCCTGCATAAATGCATACGCTGCCTGTAACTAAAGCTGGCCAGAAAACACCAGCACAGTGCTTTTCGTTAGAAAACTCTGATTTATCAAAAGGTAAGCTTTTCAAACAAGTTTAGTTTTAAGGACTCTTTTATTTCTGAAGGTTTCTTTAGATAAAGCAGGAAAAGAACCTCAAGGTCTCCAGTTCAACTACCAGCCCACCAGTTACAGCATTCACCGAACCTCAAGATGCAGCTTCAAGCCCACCCTTCCTGACAAGACATAAAATCTACTTCTCTCCCAGGTGGCACTACCTGTTCACTCTTGCCCCTGCTATGAAAATGTTCATTGCTCATTTCTTTGCCCTTTTCCCCCAGAACGTGTTATATTTTGCTACGGAATAACTAACAACACTGAAATGTTCACTTGAGAGCATTCCACTTTTCAAACAGTTCTAGTTATACACAAAATTCTGAAGGTTGTAAAGTACACATTCACCTTAATGTGTATTAATTCTTATTTGTTAAACACATCTGTGTTTAATTTGTAAACACATCTGATCGGTCTTAAGAAATGCAGGATGAGGCATGGTACTGTCAAAAAACTGTGAGATGCTGGAAATAAAGTCAGTATCACAATGAACACACACACAAGGAAGGAAAAGTAGCCCGTACAAGCTTCACATAAGCATTTTGTAACTGTCGTCATTTCCTGCCTACAGTAACGTCAAGAGTGAACTGCAGGCAAAATACCAGTCAGGCAAACAAAGTCAAGCTCTTGCTGATTTTGATGAGAATCTTGCAAATGACAGGAAAAACCTAGTAAACAGCTTTGCTAGTCTGAACACAAGATGCTATCAAAAACTGAGTCATGCTCACACTAGAAACAATGCATGAAGTTACAGGTGTCATTTCTACAGGTGATATGTTCAAAAAAGGCCCAGGAAAATGAGGAAGAGGATTTTAGGATGAGCTAGCACAGTGCATGTACCCCTGACCATGTGATGCAGTTGTGTGGCTTCCCTGCCACCTTGCAGCTGTGACCTACTCATGTTCTACAAATAAACCAGCGATGCATGTGGGGGAAGTGATTAAACAGTAGAAAACTGTTTCATCGGTCATCTTTCTTACAAGATTCTCTGCATCTAAACATTCTTCATTCACTGTAATCTAAACCCAGAACTGATGTAAACTAATATTATACCAAAGTCATGCAAGTTTGCAGAGCATCTAAGGATTTGATCTATAGCTAAAGCAGAGAACTAATAGAAAAACAGAAGATACTTGTCATACTATAGAGAAATACATAGTGCATTTGCACTTGCACTCCCAGTTTCCCCTTGTGGGGAGGCATCTTCAAAGAATTTCCTAGCGACCAGTGTGCCTTGACACAAGTAGTTGAGTCCCACTGAGAGCTGTGAGGAGGCTGGAGTATTCATGCACACTTTCATGTAAGATCTGCCTTTGTTCTCCTTTCCTACATACTGAGTCATTCTGCAGCGAATGAAAACAGCTGCCCCATCACCCTCAGTTGTCTGCCTGGTTTCAGCTGATGGGGCAGCTGTACTCTGCGTTTACAATCCTCAGTAAGAGACTTGGACCAACTCCAGCCTAAACCCTCTTTGTTTATAGTATTACTGAACAGAATATCACAGGGATTTACATACAACATCTGAAGTTTAACTTTGAGTTAATCCAAACATAACTCAAAGAAAAAGTACCCCTTTGTTTTGTTTTGAATAATGTGGTCTGAACTTAGCTGTCTTTTGTTGAACAGAATGCCTCACGGGACGACAGGGAAAATGCCAATCCTTAAGAAGTCCTCTCTAAACCTTAGTTTTCAAGAAATTTGTGTTATGTGCCTAAAATAGTTCAGTTTTGCAAATGTTTCAAGAGGAAGAATCTGTACACAGAACTATCCCCTTCAGCCAGAGCTGGGACTTCTGTTCACATCCCAAGTTTTCTTACAAAGACAAGAAACATCTCCTACACTACCAATATTTTTAATGCCACTTACTTGCCCTCGGAGCTATAACTGTTTATGCTGCCATCAGTGGATTCCCGACTTGGCTGTCGAACCATGCGACTTCTCATCTCTGCTGCCATTCCTGTCTCTGTGCTTCTCTGTATCGTGCTCTTTAGCTTCTTGCTGCCAGCCTCTGAAAGCAGAGAAAAGGAAGTGACAGTTAGGCTGACAACTTAGAGCAAAGCCTTTCCTTGCAGTTTTCCCCCAACAACAGTGATCTGACTTGATAACTACTATTTAATAACACAAAAAGACAATTCTGATCGAAGAAGGACTCTCTCTTCTACAGCTGCAAGTTGGCAATGGCTTCTCTTTAAAGGGCTTTAACCATTAGGGCAACCTGTTAGAAATTAAGTTTGTTATTAATAACCTTTACACACTTGGAATGTAGACAGGATGACCATGATTGTGTGCTAATCATATACTTGGTAAGGTGTCTCTAGCCACCTTGTTAGTTAGGTTGGGTGAGTACAAAAGAAGTTACAACTCTTACGGAAAGAAGGGGGGGGGGCGGAAATCCTTCATGCATTCTGCTGCAAAAATGTTAAGTAGTAAAATACCTACTATCAAAAATATAATAATGTGTTTTGATCGGCAAAATCTTACTTTTCACCACAGAAATTCTTCAAAGTAAACAGTGAGATTTACACAACTTCTGATCTCAGCATTTTCTAAGTTGAGTTAACTCCTGGAGAATTTGTCTGCAAGATGACGGACTCCGCAGTCCAGGCTTGCAACCGAACACTACAGAGTAATGTAAATCTTGTGAAATTGTTTAAAGACTTGATCCATTTGGAAAAGCTTCCATCACACATTCTTTAAAATGCAATTTGGGTTCCACATGGAAAGTTTCGTGTCACCCTTGAGCCAGGAGAGCTTCCAGTTCTTTACAGGGGTGGTTATGGACCCACTGTGCAATGGCCGATCTACAATGAGTTCTGTCGTCACACAGCAAACGTTATGCTTCCAATGGCAATAATTGTTCTCAAAGATCTTTAACTGAAATACTTCCACCGAAGTCTCTATGTGATGTAATAGCATGTGTTGACTTCAAACTGTCTTGTTCTTTATCAGTTAGTTCAGTTATAGTTCAATAGGTAACATTACTTTCTCTTGGGAAGTAATAGGTTTTACAAAGTTTCACTTAAGTGCATACAAAAACATTCCCTTGCATTTCCTCCTTCATTTACATGCTCCTTCATTTGCTGTCTGCAAACTCTGCACTTCCTTTTCAGAGTCTGCTTGGAGAATTATCTGAAAAGGTACGTTTCTTCCACCACCACCTGCTGTGGAGACTGAAGTGCTCTGAAAAATTTCTTACCTTCCTATTTCACATGAACAATGTCGATGTTTGAAGCTGACAGATCTTGATCTTTCTTCACACAAAGTTAGGCTTTGATAGCCCCTACACAGCCTGTCCATTGCTCAGGGTGTTCCACTGTGCTGTGGAGAATAGCTGGACCTTGATCTCTGGGTCTGCAGAGCTGGTGGAGGGCAAGGAGAAATCATACCACAGAGCTTCTTCCCTCCCCATGAGTTATCACAGTAGCCTCCTTGGTGCTAGCAGAGGCACAGCAAACAAGGCCAAAGCGAGAAAGAAAGAATTCATATATTGGGCTTAGAGGAGACGTCACCAATGCAAAAGAGGCTGTGGTTTTCTTCTTAAGCTTTCTGGACCAGGGATTGTTTATCCATGGCCACTCAGCAGCAGAGAAACAAATGCCTCTGAGTGGAAGAAATCAGCTACTTCCACAGATCTTTTACCCCTTCTGCGTCCAGCAGCTTGGAGGTTTCACTGTAGGCCACTGCAGCTCATTCAAACTCCTGGTCCTTGATCAGCTGAAAACACTTTATTCAGTGCTGCTAAACACGAGGTACAGGAGGTTAGACAAAGTGCACCAGGCAGACCACTCCTAGCCAGTGCAGGTGACTGTGGACCGTATTTGCTGGAACTTCAGTGACTCTGTATCTAAGAAGTGAAATACTACATTTTGAACCTGAGCTTTATCCTTAAAAATAGACTGTGTGTCCAGCATATCAATCCTGAAAGGTGAGCTGAGCATCAAAAATGAATCAATATTCAGCCTATGAAGTACAACCCACATGCAGAGCCCTACAATAAATCAGGATTCTCTCATTTTCAGCAGCTGTGCATTTGCCACCCATATTGTTTTATGCCTTACTTGCTAAGACCTGCGTAAAAGTGTCTGTTACCATCTGCTCCTACAAAGCAGGTGAGATTATGTGGTTTACCCCCTGCTGCCTTTTCTGCAGCCAGCTACATCAGGCAGCATGACTGGAAGGATATGATATGGTAGAGCTTCAAATGTGGGCAGCTGAATAGGGTTGCCTGGGAGTGTTCATGGCTGAGGAGATACGAGTGATGAGGCACTTCAGGTAGGCACAAGATCATCATGACCTTGGCACAAACTGGGAAAGAGATGTTGCTCTGGACCGCCTGGACAACATGGTGGGTGCTGAAATTTAGGGATTAGAGCCAGGCTGTTGGGAAAGCATACTGAAGAAAATAGTCATAATCACTGTAAAAAAATTACAGAAATGAATTATTTTAGCTTTGAGCCACTGTAGAGATTGCAAATAGCAAGTGGTTTTTTTTGAAAGAGTAATTTGATATTATCACAGATAACATCTATGTTGCTGCTTGAACATACTTCTTTGCTCCACAGGTTTTAAATGCATAGACCATAAAATAGGAATCCTCATGCATGGCCATAACCAAGTCCACAACCTTGTCTCACTGTGCTGCAAAAACCAGACTGTGTTTCCAAATATTTTTCAAGTCACTGCTCTCTGTCTTACTGCACTGGCTTCTACTTCTTTATTTCTCATTGACATTTTTTTTCAGTTTAAAGATTTAAAAAATTCTTTTGCTTCCTCCTGTAACTGCAAGTAATATCCACAGTATTTCCTGGGATAAACAGTTCTCCTGCATATTTCACTTTATAGCCTCAGTCTTAATATTCTGCAGTACAATCAGAATCATAACATAAAAGTAACTCAAAGTAGCCCAGCAGTACAGTCAGAATAATAACATAAAGTAGCCCAACAGAATGGTAAAATACATCAGGAGTTTTATGGAGTAAAGGAAATTGCTTTTGCCCACCAGTAACAACCGAAACACATGTTGCTCAGTTTTAACCTTTTGGAAGTTTTAACCTTGGTCATTTACGCGTATCATAATTTTATCCACTTACAGCACAAGAACTAATGAGAACAGTTTATCTTGTTGGTGCACTCCTGTAAACTTCTCAGGAAAACCAGATTCTGCAAGGGAGGAAGGTGCTTAGCATCCAGCCGAGTTGGGAACTCCTGTTACTTCTAAAGGTGCCCCAGTACCATGAACTCTCTCTGGGGTACAACTTCCAGTCCTGCCTCAGCTGCACAATGAAATACGTGATTCAAACAACTACCAGTGTTACTCCTGCTCTTGATAATGTTGTATGTTGATTTTTGGTGGGGTTTTATTTTAGTAAAAAAGCTTTCATTTTGTATTACTTTCAATCTAGCAGATGTGCATATACCTTTGGAATGCCATCTTTATATGGACAGTACAAGTTCATAAAATATTTAAGCTCAATATGTATGCTATGATATAGTGAGAAGAATTTCTTCTCTTGCCTGGATATCTTCTGGACAATACTGGGTCCTGATCCTGATTTTTATTAGTTTGATATGTATAATTAAATTTTACAATATACACAGCTTATAAGCGTTTTGCAGTTCACCAACAGCACTTGCTGTTATTAAGGGGCACACCTGCTACAATACACAGATGAGCATGTACAATGCATTGTTTCAGTCTACCTGCAATAGCCTATAGTGATCCCTTCTTGGTCTGACAAGAAACTGGTTACTAATTTTGTTTGTCTCAGAAAACAAACTGTTTTCTGTAAATTAATGGAGGTCCTGACCTAAGTAATGACAAAGAGCAAAAAGGCTTGTTAGTGTATGCACTATTTTACATTTGCACAAAATACCAATGCAGTTGATGTGTCCCCAATTTCTGTGCATCCTAATCACCTTCAAGCATAGCAGCCAGGAGCAAAATGGTATTGACAACGGAATTATATTAGCAAGAAAGGGTCAGTGATAGTGCCTATGGAATTGGGATGTCCTACTAGAGATAACTCAAGGCTAGCTTTACATTTCTGAGGGCATTCAATTCAGACAGGACAATGCCAGGACAAATAGCCCAAAATGACTTGTATCCATGACTGCCCTTAGCAAAGGCATGAGTGCACAGGACGTCACCATTGGCCTGTCTTTTCCCCTGGGTTCTGTGTAGTGCCTGGAGGCAATTACTGCATTTTGCTCTTGTTAAGTAAGTCTGAAATAACAGGAGGGGCTGTGCCACAACCTGCTGGAATAAAGCTTTTATCCTGAGATGCCAAGGTGTACATTACATGCCACAGGACAAGGCTAAGGGACATACAAGAGTTTGCAAGGACACAAGCTCAGCAACTTAGTCAATAAGACAGTGTTAGAGACTTCTGTAGGGCAGAAGAAAACAATCCTGACATGGTCTGCTGGGTACTGCCTATAGGGAGAGGTGCCTTGAGAAGCACTGCCCAGACTCATGCCCGAGGGTCTCTAGTTGGTCATTGCCAAAAAAAGAAGCAAATTGATAAGTATGCAGCACCTGGGTATGCGGCATGGAAAATTCATGACTGGGTCAAAAGAATGGTCCAGAGAACAGTGCATACACCACTGCTAAATCCACTAATGAAAGGGATAAGAAGGGTACTAATATTCAATGTCATCACATGACTCAAGGGCAAATTATTCACAATACATTCTCATGCATGCTCATGCATCCAAAGAAAGCCTACAAGGACTACAGATCCAAGCCAACTCTGACTAAAACCTGGCAGGACTGTGACCATATTGTTGGTTTGCATATGGACTGTGTGAGACAGCAACAAGATTATGCCAACTGGAATAGAAAGGGTCACCCTCAATCCAAAGAACTATAAAAAGAAAAGCCAAGGGGCACATTTCCTTCTGGTCCTTTCTGATGTGTTACTGATTTTACAATCCCAAATTTAGCTCATGGAGACCTGCTGAGTTACAAGTTCTGCAGCATCCCACTCACTCTGCATGTAGCACTTTTAA